TTGAGTATATGCCTAAGAGTGGAATTGTTGTATCTTGAGGTAGGCTGGTTCCCATTTTCTGGAGAAACCACAACACTGATTTCCAGAGTGGTTGCTTGCACTCCCACCAGCATTGGAGAAGCATGCCCCTTTATCCAAACCCTCTCTTCATCATAAACTGTCATTGGTGTTTTTGATTTTGGCCTTTCTGACAGGAGTAAGTTGGTATCTCAGAGTTGTTTTGATTTGCATTTCCCTGATGACTAAGAAAGTTGAGCAATTTCTTAAGTGTCTTTCAGCCATTTATATTCCTCTATTGAGAATTTTCTGTATAGTTCTATACCCCACCTTTTAATCAAATTATTTGATGTTTTGGTGACTAGCTTCTTGAGTTCTTTGTTTATTTTAGAAATCAGCCCTCTGTCTGATATGGGGTTGATGAAGATCTTTTCCCATTCTGTGGACTGTGTTTTTGTCTTATTGACTCTGCCTTTTGCCTTACAGAAGCTTCTCATTTTCAGGAGGTCCCATTTATTACCTATTAATCTCAATGTCTGTGATACTGGTGTTATGTTCAGACATTGGTCTACTGTGCCAATTCCTTTAAGGGTCCTTCCCAATTTCTCTTCCAAGATGTTCAGTATGGCTGGATTTATGTTGAGGTCTTTGATCCCTTTGGATTTAAGTTTTGTGCAAGGTGATAGATATGGATCTATCTGCAATCTTCTACATGTTTATGTCCAGTTATTCCAACACTATTTGTTGAAAATGCTTTCTTTTTTATACTGTATAGTTTTAGGTTCTTTGTCAAAATCAGGTGTTCATAGGTGTGTGGGTTAATATCAAGGTTTTCAATTCAGTTCCATTGGTCTACCTGTCTGTTTTTGTGCAAATCCCAATCCGTTTTCACTACTATAGGTCTATAGTAAAGCTTGAAGTCAGGGATGGTGATGCCTCTAGATGTTTCTTTATTGTACAGGATTTTTCTGACTATCTTGGGTTTTTTGTTTTTCCATATAATGTTGAATATTGTCCTTTCAAGATCTGTGAAGAATTGTAATGGGATTTTAATGGGGATTGCATTGAATCTGTATATTGCTTTTGGTAAAACTGACTTTATGCTATGTTGATTGTACCCATCCAACAGCATGGGAGATATTTCCATTTTCTGGTATCTCCTTCAGTTTTTTTCTTTAATTGCCAAAGTTCTTGTCATACAGTTCTTTCACCTGTTTGTATAACGTTACCCCAAGGTATTTTATGTTGTTTGTGGCAATTGTAAAGGGTGATGTTTCTCTGATTTCTTTCTCAGCACCTTTATTTTCCATATATGAGTATGGCCACCGATTTTTTTGAGTTAATCAATATTAATTTTTTCACTAGAATCCAATGTCTTTCATAGTTGCTAAAGCCTGAAATCTGTGTTATTAGCTGTCCAGGCTTGCTACTGTAGCATGTGTGTGGCAGGCAGCCTTGGCTTCTTTCTATTCCTGCTCTCTGGTCTCCAGTTCTGTCTAGTGTTCACTCAGTAGGAGGTAAATTCTGTTGTGAGGGTTTTCTCTACTATTCTGCTCCTGCATTGAAGTTTTGAAACCTATTGCAATGATACCCACTTGTCTGGTAGTGGTATCATGAAATGATTCTGAGATGAGGGAGTTGGGAACCAGTTTCAGCTGGAGAGCTCAGATTTCCTTGCAGAAGTTGTGGACAGCATGGAGCTCTGCTTGTTACTTGGGGTCACAGAAGATTGCATCCAGCTCTGGTCAGTCTGGTTTCCGATATAAAAATTCCTCACATTGGTGTACTGATAATCAACAGGAATTTATCTCTTTTTTTTATGGAGGTGGGGACATCCAAGATCCAAGTATACATTCTGGTAAACACCATTAGGGAGTGATGTCTGGGGCCAAGCCACCCTTTTTTAAGAAAGTTACTCCCATGGCTTTGATAGGAACTGAACCTTGAAGAAATCACTTTTGATCTAATCACTTCTTGATTATATCACTCTGTCTTCAAACATACAGTAGGTGTTAGGTTTCCAACACATGAACTAATGGGGAGTGCATTCAATTATAGTGTTCTTATAGTTTATAACAAGTTGTTTTAAAGGGCATCTTTAACTTCCTGGTCACATGCCTAAGACCCCTGGACCACCTGAGAATCTATTGTCAGTTTAAAGTGTGCATTCAGCCACACATATATCCCCAGGCTTTGGGTGGGGATCTGGAATCTGCCTGAGTCCCTAAGATATGAATCCTTGATCTTAAAACAATTTATGTATTACCATAAGGTTTGGTATATTATTATATAATGTGATAATTCCACCTGGCGAAGGTACACCTAATTTCATTAGGAAATGTTTGAAAATTTGGTGTTCTTTTTCCAATAACAATGAGAAACCAGTTGTATCCTCACATGGCAAAATGCCCTAGAGTAGGGATGAGGTTACAGACATGCAAAACATGGCCCATTTTATGGTAGGCAGTCTGATTCTATTCATGGTACTGAGAAAGGTCCAATGTTTTCATTAGTATTGGGTATGATATAATAAAGCATCTAGAAAGAATGCTCTAATAGCTAGCTGCATGTTGTTTCATGCTGAAAAATTTTTACCTTCTCTCACCCCCCTAAATTACTTGAAAAGGTATTTTTTGTTTCTACTTTTCCTTGTTCACATCTTAAGAAATACCTGGACTCTGTCTTATATACTCTCCTGACATCTGAGAAGATAAATCCATTATCTGCTCCAGTTTTTACTTCCCTCCATGCTCTCTGAAACCTGTCTCTATCCATTTACTTCGAGCAGCAGATGTTTCTGTATTTATGCTCCAACCCCTCTCTATGTACGATCTCTTCCTCTCTGAGGAAGTGAGCAGAGCTTCCAAAGGAACTGTGGAAAATCTCTGCACATCTGTTCCTGCCTACTTTCTTATGTGTTTGAAGAAATTTCTCGAAGACCTATGCTATTCTTTATGAAAAATTATCAAGGCAGGCTAGTTTTACTTTAGTTATTAATAAGCCTACAGTAAATACAAAAGCAGCTATAAATATAAATTAATGCAGAATTTTAATTTCAATGCATCAGTCACATTTTGAGTGAACTTTTAAATATCACTGTAAATGGATTTTTACTATATATTGATTCAAAAATTATTCCAATAATTTTGATTCTTAATTTTTTGTTACTAGACAAATTTAATTAAATAATTACAATGTCTCAGATCATGACTGTTTAATTACTAAAAGAGCTATCACTCTTTTATAATAAAAAATAAAACATGGTAAAAGGGTAACAGTAGGAATTTGAAAATAAATTTTAATGGAAGAGTGCTCTCATTGCTGTCGTCATCTTGACACAATCATGACATATCTGTGGAGATGGAATATTAACTGAGAAAATGCCTCCATAATATTGTTCTTTATGCAAATGTATGGGTTATTTTACTAACAATGTAGGAGGTCCTTACCCATAGTAGTCTGTGTCACAAATGGACATATTGTCCTGGATTGTTTAGAAAACCTGGGTGAGCAAGCCATGTGGAATGAGCCTGTAAGGAACTTTCCTTTGTGGTCTCAGGTTGGGGTCTAACTTCCAGTTTCCAGCCTTTACTTCCGTTTTGTTGAACTATAGCCTACAAGCTGAAATAAGGCTCCAGAAGAAGCTTTTGTTCATCACAGCAATGGGAACCTAACTAGAACAAAGATCAAACTAGTTTGCATCATTTTTCATAGACCATACTAATATGAATATGTAAAAGACACTTTTAGTGTATGTATTCCTATTAAAATGTAATACATTTCCAGAGATATACAAGGATGACACCAACTGGCAATCTAAGCAATAGTGGAGAGACTACCCTAAATTCCCTTCTATAAAGCTTTCTGCCAGCTGCCTAGGTTCCGCTGCCACATTAGGGCCCACAAATAACACACAGAGACCTATATTATGTACAATGTTTCTGGCCAATGACTAGCATTTCTTATATTCTAGCTCTGTCCTAAGTATCAACCGTAACCACTAATCTATATTATTTTTTAAAGAGTTATCTTATTGAGGACACTGGCTGCATGCGTCCTCTCTTGCCAGGATCACATGGCAACTCCATTCTTTACTACATTTCTCAGAATCCTCCTTCTCTCCTAGTCCCACCTAATTTGCTTCCCTATTGGCCAACAGTTCTTTATTCATTAATGAATATACACAGAAGGACTTCCCCCATCAGACTGATGACTGCCTTATATGCCATCCTAGAGCCTTCATCCGGTGGCTGATGGAAGCAGAGGCAGACACCCACAGCTAAACACTGAACTGCACTCTGGAACCCAGTTGCAGAGAGGGAGGAGTGATGGCCAAAGAGGTCAAGACTGGGCTGGTGAAACCCACAGAAACAGCTGACATGCACAAGAGGGAGCTCATGGACCCCAGACTGATGACTGGGAGGCCAGCATGGGACTGATCCAGATCCCTGAACGTGGATGTCAGTGAGGAGGCCTCAGCCTCTGGTAGTAGATCAGTATTTATCCGTAGCATAGGAAAGGATGTTGGGAGCCTATACCACATTGAGGGGTGCTCTCTCAACATGGACACATGAGGGATGACCTAGGTCCTGCCCAGGATGATATGACAGACTTTATCCCTGGGGAGCTGAGGGGGAATGGGGTGGGGCATTTTTGGAGGGCTGGGGAGGAGGGGAAGGAGAGGGATCTGGGATTGACATGTGAAGCAGGCTTGTTTCTAATTTGAACTAGTAAATAAACAAAAAGACCCAAGATAGATTACATACAACACTTGTCTTTTTTCATAAGCCATCTTATTTTCTGTATGTATTCATAAAATAGGTGTTTGAGACATAAGGGATACAGTAGTCAGATTTCTGGTGTCATTTGAGTGGAAATTCTCCCATGGCAACTTATGTATTATGTATGTCTTTCCCTAGAAGACTTTTATTTTTTATAATTACTTTTCTTATGAACCTCCCAAATTTCCCTTTTATTGAAAATAGATATCTTTCAATCTACAGGCCCATGTGGCTCACTCAGCAGGGCAAAAGCTACCCAAGGGTCAGCCTGGTTCCTTACATCCTGGCTTTCCTGAAGACACCAACAGACCTGATGCCATTTGGTTTCTGGACCCATGGGGACAGTTCCGATGAGCTAGTATATGGTGGAAAAGTGGCAGAGAACAAGCGGCAGAATGGTCTGTATCCTCTGGTAAGAATCAGAAAAAAAGCCTTAAAAATGGACAGCAGTATTGGCAGCCTGCTTGCAGGTAAATTCTGGACCTGCACTGTTGCCAAGCACCATTTCTGGGTCAATGGTCAATCCTACAGCAACAAGGATGAAAACACCTTTTCACAGGCTCCCATATCAAATGTCTTGCACATCAGATATTTACCTTCCAATCCATTACAGTAGCAAAAGTACACCTATGATGTATACAAAATAATTTTATGGCTGGGGGCTATCACAACACAAGGAACTGAATTGGGAAGGTTTTGAACCACTGCCACTACTCCACAGGGCCTCTGGGTGCTCCCAAAAGCAGAAGGGTGTTATTATTGCAGATATGAATTCTAAGATAATTGACTTTCAGCAGGTATGAATATTGATAGGTTCAGCCAATAAAAGAGTAAAGCTGACACACACACCAATCTCTATCCTCACAATTTGTATTTGTTTTTCAAGATATTTGCAACAATTTCTTTGTTCTTGAGTTGGAGTACTAATGTTACTTTGAACTTTTTGAAGAGTGGGGAACATCATAAATTCTACTTTCTTTGAATATATTCAGTTACTCACACATGTTCGAAACTCCTCACTACATAAATCCTTAAGGCATAAATGACCCTGAAATTCAGCAAAGGAAAACAAAACATTCTTGAGATCTTGTGAGTCCAGCTCACAAAATTGTCTCCCAGGATTCAGGTCAGATGCTACAGCTTATCCAAGGGAAATCAGAAAATTTCTAGTCTGAGGATTTAGAGAATGAACTCACACACAAGCTGTTCGAATCATGCCTTTATTCTTCTCTTGGCTCTAATTCTACCTCTGTAGCTTCTAGTTCTCCTTTGTTTCAATTCTCTGTTTCAATACTTTCTAGCTTCTTATGAACCTAGCTTGAATATGTTTTTACATGAGGCTTGAAGCAATAATAAAAACAAGAATTACAAGAGTTATAACACATCACTGAAAAGTACATTCCTTTGGGTTAGTGATAGGGGCAGAGTCCTTCACCATGGCAACGCAGTTTCAAGTTTTCTGGAGTAAGATTGTGAGCAGAGGGCAGTGAACACTGCCCAGTGAGACATGCTTCGAGATACAGTTCTTTTACCAACGAGAATTAATAAAGAATTGGTGTGATATTTTTAGGCTGCTTTGTATAAATAACCTTGGTTAGAAGCCTGTGACTCTGACCTTGAGCATAACTGTAAAGTTTTAACTTATGATCCATTTACAAAAAACTTCAGTCTAGTTTGAACCTATTCTGAGGTAAAAATGAGCTAATTGTGTGAAGTTTGTGTTAGACTGAAGAGAAATTCTGATTTTCTTGTGTAAGTCTGAGTGAAAGGAACAAGGTAGGCTTTAAATGTCTTACAGCCTCTTGGAACAATAGATCTATTTATGAAGCATGACCTAGTATATTTTCTATACATCAAAATTATACAGATTAATGAGAAATCATCTTTATGGCTATATTCAGATATGTGGGTGCCCAGTAGATGGATTATTTTCATGAGATAAACACACAAGCAATGGAAAATGCACCCAGAGCTGTTCTTAGGGAAGAAATGAAGTGGCTCATGAAACAGAGGCAGTTATCTACAGCAGTGACCCAACATTCTGCCAAGTGGGGCTCCCCACCAGAGGGTCACTCATCTGGGAAGTTGGCCTGTTGAACACTAGCTGTCATTTGTTGTATACTCCCATGGCCTCCAACAAAACATAAACTGTTAAAGCAATGTGTTCAGGAAGCAAATAGTTTAATGTGTACACTATATTACTAACTTACTCTAATGACAATATTTAGGATATTTTGCATCACTTTATTCAGAAGCCCAGGAGTAAACTATGTGAGGTAAAACCGATATGCTCTTAGGCTGAGTGATAACACATTTTAGTTTTAAAACACTCTAAAAATATATATTACAGTTAGTTGTTTCATATTAGCTTGCTATATTATAAATTTTTCTTAAAAACAAATGAAATATATTTAAAGTAAAGGTGACCTTTCTGAAAAAATATATTCAGACAGAAGAGTGTATGAATATTATCAATATTTGTTGTTTCTGGTCAGGCCACAGCAATAGGTTAAATGTTGCTTTACATTAAATACTGTGGTTGTCCCCTGAGCAACTGCTGTCCTAATCAGTAATTGCAACTCTGCAGCTACCACAAGGCTTTGTCTGCACAGGATCATAGCCAGGCTGAAATTATGTTCCATTGGGCACTGGTTCTACCATGGTCACTAAAGGAAACTTTATCCAAATCCCTGTTCTTCTATAGAACTCAGGGTTCAATGGTTAAAGTCAAATTATGCTTGCTCAGAGAGAGGGGAAACAGCAAATAGCTAACCTTCCCTCCTTGCTGGTGTCTCCCCAAGAACGGTGGCATCCTTCTGTGCAGCCCCCACTTAAAAAACCTATCTACTCTAATTCCTACCAACCACTTCTTGTCAGCTAGTTATAGACGCAATCTCCTGACCCCAGGGCAAATTAATTGAATCAGACAAAAGTAACATGTGCTTGCATCATTAAAAAAAGCAGCCGAAAAAATGTAACTCATGTTTACACAGTTAAAATAATATTCAACAAGGGGTAAATATGAGGAAATGTGTACTTTCGTTCTAAAGATTCTTGAGCACATTTGAAACATCTAATCATGTCTTTGTGATGCAAGCACCTGAAAAACTGTGTAGGCACTGATGCTAAATAATGCACTATGTCTCATTCAACAGAAAAATAATGGATGATTAGAAAGAGTCTTGTAGGAGTATAGGACAAACAAGAAATTCTAGAAATAGTTTGGAGACGCTATCCCTGCCTACACACTAATGCATTCTCTTACAAAATAATGAAAATACTGACTATATCAACAACACATTGGCTTTCCAGATTCCAAATGTACAAACATTCATAATAAATAAATAGCAGGTAATGGATCAAAACACTATATTGATTCATTTTACAATTGATTCATCATTCATACTCAGGCACCAGCCTTGAATTTTCCAGGGAATAATTGCATGACTATAGGAAGATCAGAAAAACCTAAGTACTACTTCATATGACATAAATAAAGGCAACTTTAAGTTATTTATTTGACATGAAAAGTTACAATGAAATATTAGAAAGCCCAATGCTAAAAGCACAAATATGTATTACTTCAGAAACTTAGCAAAGTTTGAAATCAACTCATGATAAATTGTAAATAGGATCTGCTAGAAATGAATTGCACCCTCATGTCCACCTCACCCCTCATCTTCTCCCCTTCTCATTCAACAGAAAAGTTGAGTCAGGGGAAGAATAGAAGAAAATAAAAAAGGAGATACCATAATAGAGGGAGATATTTTAGGTTTACAGAGAAATCAGGCACCAGGGAACGTTCTGGAGATCTACAAAGATGACACCAACTAACAATCTAAACAACAAAGGAGAGGCTACCTTAAATGCCCTCCACTGATAATAAGATTGATGACTCTCTTACATGCCATCCTATAGCCTTCATCCAGCAGCTGGTGGAAGTAGAAGCAGACACCCACAATTAATCACTGAACTGAACTGGAATCCAGTTGCAGAGAAGAACCAGTGATGGGCAAAGGGGTCCAGACCAGGCTGGTGAAACCCACAGAAACAGCTGACCTGAACAATGGAGAGCTCTTGGTCCCCAGACTGATAGCTAGGATACCAGCATGGGACTGATCCAGACCCCAGGAATGTGGGTTTCAGTGAAGAGACTGCAGAAATCTACGGGACCTCCTATAGTAGTTCATTACATATCCCTAGTATAGGTGTGGACTTTGGGAGCCCATTCCACATACAGAGGTACTCCCTGAGCCAAGACACACGGGGGTGGGTCTAGGCCCTATCCCAAAGGATATGATAGACTCTTATGACCCCCTATGGAAGGCCTCACCCTCCCTGGGGAGCAGAAAGGATATGTGGTAGGTAGGGTTTTAGGTGCAGGGGTGGGTGGTGGGGAGGAGAGGAGGGAGTGGGAACTGGAATTGACATGAAAAACAATCTTTTTTCTAATTGACCTAAAAAAAAAAGAAAGAAAAAATGAATTGCACCAAACTCCTTTACAGTTCTAAGAAACTGTGTTTCCATGATTATCAGAAAAGGATAAAATCTCTAAGAAGACACAGGTAGAGATTTCTTTCAGCTATGAAGCCTATGGCTTGCTATAGATTTCCACCCAGAGCACACAGATGTGGCAGTATTAGATACCAAAGTCCTTTTAATGATGGTCAAGTTAAGAATGAGTGACTTACCCATTACAACTCACACATTTTTTTTTTCAAAAATGTTGATGACTTTTGAGTATTTCAAATACTTATGCTGCTAAGTGGGAGCTAGATCTATTAATTCAGTTCCAATCAATGAAATGTGGCAGTTTTGTGTGTTTCTACTGTGGTTAGAAGGAAACGCTACAACCCATCTTAGGAGTTATTCTTAATTGCCCAATGTGAAAAGAATAAGGGTGCTTATGTTCAATATGCAAAGAAACCTTCAGCCCACCACCACCACCATGACCACCACCACCACCATGGAAGAACTAAAGCCTGTAAGAAACCACATGAGTCTGGGAGGTTAATCCTCTCCAAAATAAGATTGAAACTCAGACTAGTTTCATCAAACTTTACATAAGATATGGCTTAGACATCCAGGTCAAACTGTACCTACATTCTTAAAAAACAATTGCAACAATCATTTGTTGCCTTTAGCTGCTAAAATTTAATTTCCAGAAAGAAAAACTTCTTGGGTTGTTTACATGATGCTCTTTTCCATGTATTCCAATAGTGAAGCACAACTTTACATAATGAGTTCTCCACAGATCCAGAATATATTCAAACATATAACAAATGTCAAAATAAGCATTTGGGCTGGGCTTTGGTGGCACACGCCTTTATCCCAGCACTCAGGAGGCAGAGGAAGATGGATCTCTGTGAGTTCAAGGCCAGCCTGGTCTCCAGAGCGAGTGCCAGGATAGACTCCAAAGCTACACAGAGAAACCCTGTCTCCAAAAACCAAAAAAATAAATAAGCATTTGTGTGCCTTCCCCCCAGATGTGGAAAGCAACTCCCTGTTGCTGAAGACACAGGTCCCAGAAACCCCTGAGCTGGAACTGACCAATGCTCCTCACATGTATCAAGGAGTTTGCTGTGGATGTATCTCCTAGGAACGTGGGAAGCTACACACATAAAGTCCCACTGCCTAAACATGAGCTTAACAACAGCAATAGCATGCCAAAGTAGAAAGAAAAAACCCACAAGGCTTTCTGCCCTACACAAAGAACTACAAACAACTAAGGAATGCTGAGAGTGGGAGAAATAAGACTTTTCCTTGGACAAACATACCAATTGGCGGTCCAATACCAAAGGTCAGCCCTGATGCTATGCATGTGAGTGGCATTGTTAAGACAGAGAAGAGCAGGTTAGGAAATACATGAATACACATATATGCACACACACACACACACACACACACACACACACATATGTTGTGACAATGAAGTTAGAGAGGCATTGAATTTGAAAGAGAGGGGGAGTTGTATGTATGAGGCTTTGGAGAGAGGAAAATGGAGGGGATAAATGGGGCAGTTACAATATAAAGAGTAAAAGAAACAGTGAATTAAAACATTTATAACTGTAATAATAATCTCAATGTAAATAATGTAAACCTAAAATTTTCAATAATTCAAGCAATTTGGATCTTAATTTTTTACTCTTAGAAATTCTTTATTTTCCTCAATTTTAGAATGTGAATAATAAGTACAGTAAATTCCCAAAATAATTCTGCATTATTTCTTTCAAAAGGAGGAAACCAAAACAAGGGATGAAGACATGTTTAAAGTGGTAGAGTGGTTGGCTAGCACATGAGTCCCTCAATTTGATCTCCAGCACTAGCAAAAAGGAAAAATAAAAAGTGTTTAAATTAAATTACCTAATTAAAATACTACTGGGAGGAGTTTGATGTATTACCTATAATGAATACTTGCTACGTTTTGGTGAATAAAAAATATTATAAACTTCACATTAGCTGTAGCTTTTACATGCTTTAAATATACATACTTGTAGTGAGCATAATAGACTAATAGAATTGAACAGTCATTAAAGAAAATATGGCTACTACTCAAGCTTCAAATTATGGATATAGCAAGCAGACTATGGTGATGCAGTCATCAGCAAAGAATAGAAGGTTTTGGAAGGTGAAAGGAATGTACAGTTTAAAGAAAAGAGGTCATATTACTTGAATGAAGCCACTGAAATGAGTCCATGTCATCCAGTGACAGAAATAGTCGATTAGCATAGTTGCTGAATGGGACAACCTGAGCAGGAAGACAAAGGGGCAGACCTGTTTGAAGGGATATGTGCATTATAGGAAAAATTCCAATTTTGAGTCCTGTGTGTATACAACTATTTCACATCTTTTTTTTTTTACTTTATTCTAAAAGCATCAGTGTGAATACAATTTTTATCTTACTAAAACCACTCATTACTGCTCACTGGTCTCTTTTATACCCCTGCAGTGTTTTAGATTTATTGGTCCCATGACACATTTCAATGACAAGATTTTGAAGGATTCAAGTCCCAGGAAGCCTAGTGCCCAGTGTCCCTATATATATTAGGCAACCACTCACAGTTGCATTAATATTTTCTAAATGTATGACTTTAAAATAGGAAATAAGTCATTATCAACAAGTTGGTCAAATCTCAGTAATCTTCCACTAAGATAAAAGAAATCCCTATTTTCTGTTATTCTAAAAGGTATTCTAAAATTTCTTCTATTTCTGTCAAAAATACTGAACTGAGAAAGAAAGAAAAATATATGAAGGCAGTAAAGATGAAAATCTTGGAATGATAAAGACTAGCAGAGACCTGGCTACCATATGGACATAATATATAAATGCAGAATAAAATTGAACAAAATGAAGGAACCATAGTTTAGCTTAAAAGCATACTGTATTATAAGACTATGTGCAATAAGTATGGTGAAAACTAGAAAATGAAATAAAAATGCACAATTTTTCTTAACAAATTTAAAATGTTTAGAATATTATATAATTCAATTTTTAAAGATGAAATTTGAGGAATTTTACAATGGAATATTACATGTGATAAGAAAAGGAGTTATTTAGGGCATTAAAGAATAAATAAAATTTATGTGCTGAAAATAACTCAAAAGGGTTAAAAGAATCAAAATTTTAGATCAGTCCTTATCCCTAGGTGTGGACTTTGGAAGCATCCCTACCTGGGGAGCAGAAAGGTTATGTGATAGGTAGGGTGTTAGGTGGGGGTGGTGGGGAAGGGGGGAGGATGGGAGGGAGAAGGAACTAGGATTAACATGTAAAACAATCTTGTTTCTAATTCAAATAAAAAATGGAAAAAAACTGTTTGAAAAATATATGTGAAATGAATATTTACTCAGTAAGAATGCAGATCTGGTGTTCTCTTTTCTTCAGAATTGGCTCCCCAGAACATACATTCTGAGGGAAATTTTGGGAGTTCATATTTTATGAGTGGTACAAACCCATGGATACAGTATTGATTGCAGAGGTAATAAGACCCAGAAGAGGAGTTTTCTGTGGTACATATTGAGCGAGCCTGTGATTTGTTCCTTTTCTTATCAAGAATTTTAGCTGGGAAGCTGTATTAATTTGTGGAGGTTCTTTCCAAACAAAAAAGAGGAAAAAAACAGTTATCTTTTGATTACAGTGTAACTCTGATCAAGGGCTTCTCTCTATGAGATATTAACTTTGCTGTACTTCTGGTTGTATATGCACAGAGAAAGTATAGTTCCAGGCTGGCATATAATCACAGGCCCAAGAGAAAGCTGAGCTTATCACCCACATATAAGTAATGCAGCATGATCAAGAAATAAGAGTCTGAGGCCTCCGGATGTTCCTTTATTGTACAGGGTTGTTTTAGCTATCCTTGGTCTTTTGTTTTTCCATATAGAGTTGAGTATTGCCCTTTCAAGGTACATGAAGAATTGTGCTGGAATTTTGATGGGGGATTGCATTGAATCTGTAGATTGCTCTTGGTAAGATTGCCATTTTTAATATGTTGTTCCTACCTATCCAAGAGCATGAGAGATCTTTTCATTTTCTGGTATCTTCTTTACTTTCTTTCTTTAATGACGCAAAGTCCTTGTCATACAGGTCTTTCACATGTTTGGTTAGAGTTACCCCAAGATATTTTATGTTGTTTGTGGCTATTGTAAAGGGTGATGTTTCTTTCTCATCTCTATTGTCTATGTATAGTAGGGCTACTGATTTTTTGAGTTAATCTTGTATACTGCCATTTTGCTGAAGATGTTCATCAGCCTTTGAAGTTCCCTGATAGAATTCTTAGGGTCACTTATGTAAACTATTATATCATCTGCAAATAGTAAAAGTTTTACTTCTTCCTTTCCAATTTTTATTACTTTGATCTCCTTATGTTGAACAATAATTTGTATTCTGCAAATGATAAAAAGGGTCTAAGCTCAATTGTCCCTCTACTTCTTAGTGAGCTCAAGGACTGAAAGTTGCTGAAAACTTCAATTTGCTTAGTAGTTTCCATTTGACTTCTCTTTATGTGTATTTTCTTTTTAATAATCCAGAGAATATAAACAAGTATGAGCATTATCATTATTACACCAATAAAATATAACAAAATTAAAATGTTCACAACTCATAAGAGATAAAATATAAACTTTTGTTAAGATTTTGCAACATATTGCAAAAGTTTCTGGATTGTTTGTAAAACAAATCTCATCACTTTGAGAATTAAGATAGGAAAATAGTCACTTTGGGATAGGGTTTCAATTATTTCAACATTTGGAACTTTTTTGCCTTTGGGAAACATAGGATAAATTGAGATGAAACAGTTTATCAATTGATAGAGAATTTTGTTGCTTTACAGACAACAATACAAATTAAAAAATCCTTCACTCCCCCAAGAAAATCTAAAACACACCAAATTATCCATATAAATTAGAAAATTACCAGTTTAATAAAAATGCATTTGGAAAGGATGAGGACCAATGCTCTATGTCAAGCATAAAATAATTAGAAAAATGATTTAAAATGTAAAAGAAAGTACTCCTTAGAAGACAAATTACATAGAAGTTTATGTTTGTCAACGTATTTGTTTGCTTTTATCTTGCCTAAGATCTCTGACTTTCCAATGAAACAGATATTGCTAACAAAGATATTTTGATAAATATTACTGAGATGAGTGGAAAGACATGATTAGCAAACAACTATGTATTTTCAAAATAATATATTTAGTTCAAATGTGATGATTTGCAACAATTTCTCACAGATATGGCTGTATGCTAATGTAGAAACTTCAACAAGAAAGACAATTCAAAAGCATGTTTAAAAATAAGGTAGAAAAATTATAAAAAAATAATGCCAGAATGTGCTTGATTTTTTTTTTTTACTTGTCCAGGCTAATGGAGAATAGTATTTAGAAATATTTAAATCTAGATTTTCTTCCAACAGCAATTTCGTAAAAGAATACCAAGCTCCATCTTTGTACTAAGATCTCTCACACACTGAAAAACAGAGAGACATGCATGCTCTTCTGGATTGCTCATAAGGTAACAAGGAACTAAAATCTGTGAGTATGTCAGGACTAGACAGGAGATCAGGTGTCATGGAAACAGCACAGGAGCATTAAAGTGCCATCCCCAGTTCTGTGTGTCAGCTCTTTGGAGGAACGCCAACAAACTAGGGTTAATATTATGTTAAGTACAAAACCAAGCATTAGAAAGATCATTCCACAAAATAAAAAGAGTAATTGGGATTCATTGCATAAAAATACAAATAACATCCTAATAAATTTATTTTTAAATGAATTTTATTTAAACTAAAAATAATCTTATTTTACATGCCAATCCCAGTTCCTTCTCCCTCCCAACCTCCCATTCCCCTCCCCAACTCCCCATCCCATCCCCTATCCACGCTACAGGGAGGGTGAGGCCTCCCATGGGGGAGTCATCAAAGTCTGTCACATTAAATGGTGCGGGAGATAGGCACTCCCCATGTATCTAGGCTGAGAAAGTATCCCTCCATAGGGAATGGGCAATGAATGAGTTATTGATAATAAGTTACTTTTTTGAATGTAACACGTGATATAGATGTCTTTACATGGGTTATCTCAGACATTTTGAAAATTATACTAGTTAACACAAACTGTATACCTATTCTGTAACTTGTTACTATACATTGAGATAGTTAAGAAGACTTATGAAAAGGTAATAACTTCCATGTAAATATTCAAGAGTAATTTTAATAATTATTCTAAATATTGTTGACTTAATTTTTAAAATCATAATTATTTTGTGTTTACTTCTGAAACTATTTTTCAAATACTGTGCCTTTTAACTAATTATATTTTTGTAGATTTGAATTAGCTCACCAATTTTTATAATTATACTAATTATTGTGACGTTAGTGTAGTCTCAAAATCAGTTTATAAAAACTAGCACTGAGGTCTCAACAGTTAAAACTTCCTGCTGCTTAGGGTCCCCTATAACTCCATTCCTAGGGGATCAGATGGCCTCTTCTGGCCTTAGCAGGCATCCACATAAACACGCATAAATATAAACAAACAGTGGATTAAATATTTCAAAAAAAAAGAACTGCATGATCTCGCTATTTTAAAATACAATTTTGAAACATTGCTTCTTGGATTGCCAGTTGAGCTGGCTGGATAGGAGCTGTTTTGCAGACTCATGACTCAAACTTTCTCTGGGAAGTTCTCATCATCTCATCTCCGTCTTCACAGAAAAAAGCTTTGCATCAGAAACTACCAAGGTACATTTTGGTAAAAGATGTTAAATGGGGATTGCAAATATAAATACCCTGGATACCTATGAGAGGAAGAGCTGAACAAAAGAAAGGAACCAGGTAATGTATTCTCTGCACAGCTGCAACTAGGAGTTGCACTGATGGTGCCTGACTGACTTTCTCTCCTCACTCTAGGCTCACCACCGGCAGCTCTCAGGGGTACACTCTCTCCTAGTTACAAGTACAAGAAGAGTGGCTGAAGAGAGACAAAACAGGGACTTTACACACTGTACACAGCGATGGCTGGAGAAACACGGGCTACGTAGAGGCTTTACAGTGTGTCACTACAGTCGGGCTGTGATTGTCTACCAATACTCTGGAGTGAAGAGCCAGGAAAGAAACCACTCCCACCACCGCCTTAAAGAGCAACTGCACAGGAAGATAGCGACGTGGGTCGGTTTTCCCAACTGGGGAGGAAAATTTTGTCAGCTAGAGAAAGCATACAAAGTGCCTAAGGTTAAAAAAAAAAATGGTGCAGGTCTTCCACACCATCTCAGATCGTCTGTCCAGAAAACCATGCACAAAAACAGGATTCAATGAAACACCAAAGACAAAGCTGTAACAGGCAGTTGTTTGGGCAGACTCAGATTGACTATACACATGTCTAGTGGGACAAAACAGGCTAAAGGCGGGGGGAAAACCAATAAAGAGGAAGGCAAGGGGCATTCTGAGAAATGTGCTCAACATAAAATAGACATTTGTCCAAACTCTTGATTAATTAATTACTAGTTAATTCTTTCAAATCACTGAACCTCGGATTCTCACCTCTCAATGGAGAAATAAAAGAACAAGATTCAGTTATGATCAAGCTCTTCTTCAGCCCTTACATGAACAAATAAATAAGCAACACAACAACAGGAACAGAAACATACTTCTCCTAAACCTGGGTACCCTGCTAAGAATGCATTATCCTGGACAGGACCTCAGTAACCAAGTTCTTCACACTCTTGCTTCCATATGTTGCCTGAGGAAAGAATCGACAAGAAAACAGGTGCTAAATAAATCAGGCAAAGCCAGTGTCTGCCAAGGCCTATGTTTTTGCCTCTTAAGTAAATAGTAATAAAAACTACTTCTAGATATCTGACAGGCATACAACTCAAAATCCACTACACTCAGATTTTAAAAGAACCAGATTGAATTCGGGAACTTTAAATTCTGGTTGTGTTAGCTTTTTGATACATAGACATACTTGTTTGAACTACGAGCACCAGAATGCCCTTTCTAAAATGATATCCACTAGGTTAGATTGTCAGAGACATTCTTAAAGGACAGTTGAATGACAACAGTGAACAGTGTTTTTGTAACAAACAGCCCTTTTCTGAATCATTCCACAGACAGGAATCTAGGCACCACCATGAAGCAATTTTGCAAAGGTGGTCTTAATTCCTCAACCGTAAGTTTGGGATAATCAAAAAGTAGATTGCTCTCATGGACAGAAAGGAAGTCAAGCTTTTAAAAAGTGGGTGTTTCTCTGAAAGCAGATTCCAATACCCACGGGGTTTGCAATTCTAAGCGGGTTTGAAGCATTCCTCTCTGCTTTGCTCCCTGGCTGCCTATCTTCCTGAAGGATTTTGGTGTCATGTCTTCAATTCCCACAGCTGTATAGCTTTGAATAGAACACTCGACTAGTAATTAGTAATTTATCAAACAGTACACATCACTTGTGAAGTCAGATGGGGCAGGAGAGCTGGGGCAAGAATTCACATGGTATTTAAAAGAAGCATGGAAACTTCTTCATTCAGCCTTGTGGGAAAATGTCATTGAAGAGTTTATCACATGAAAACTAGTTAGGCAATCTGGGAAAAAAATTAGAAAAACAAATATAACAGCAAGGCAAAATAATAGCAAAGTAATTGATCATGAGACAAATAACAAGGTCTTTTGGATGCTGCATGAAGAGGCCATCATTTTAGGCGCTGGATTTTGTATGAATTTTAAACAGAAAAAGTCCTTGACTCGCTTCAGCTGAGCAACAGCAAGCAGAAAAATTTCCAAGAACTGCAGAAAATTATAAACTAATAAATTGACTGCAGGGAAAATTAGGAGCACGACACTGAGAAAATAAGGAATAATAGAACCCCGGATTGATTGAGTACACAGATCATGATGGGGATCTTCAGAAATGTGTTTGCAGAGAGAGAGAATTAAAACATCATAGGAATCTCGCTGCATACTTCTGCATGTAAAGGTTATTACTTCTATCATAAATTAGGTTTAATTCCTATTCCATAACATGCCATCAGTCATCATAAAGAAATATATGATTGATGGAATGGTCTTAATCAAAGATACCCAAATTAAATTGCCCTGGGTTGATAGATGTACAATGAAAGTCATTTTGGATTCAGATGGTGAAAACATGCAAGCAAGGGAAATATTAACTTTCTATGCAGGTTTCTTTAAAAGAATGGATGATGTCTGGGAGTGAGACACATTAAATTTGTGTGTCCACAACATCCATAACATGCACAACATGGCAAGAGAGATTCTGAAGTAGCACCACATAAAGTTAAGGTTGGTTTTATTCTTATTTATATTGTCTTAGGGTAGGGGTGTGTGTGTGTGTGTGTGTGTGTGTGTGTGTGTGTGTGTTGCAAAGTAACAGTGGACTACAGTGATTTTTTTAAATAGAGATGCTTAAAGCTGAAGAACGCACACAAATTTCAGCAATAATTTGTTAGACCACTTATCTTTGGTAAATTAATTAAGTTCACTAGCTTTGATTATGACCTCAAAAATAAAATAATTAAGAAATAAAACATTACTGCCAAATTTAAGAAATTATTAAGAATAAACCATAAGCATAATAATCTTTTACATTACCTTTACATTGTCTTTTCTTACATCATCTACAATTATAAAAAAAAACACTGAGAAATTGCTTTTTAAAAAATACACTGACTCTTACGTGGGCCTCTGAGGTAACCAAACAGAACAAAGAATGATACCTGTGCTTTCGTTTTCCACTTGTCTCCTTTGCTATGAGTCACGTACTTAGCTGTCTATAGGGATCTTAATCATACCAGTATCTATCTAGAACTGGCAGGCCAAAAGACATACCATTCCTATTAAAGGCTTAAGGTTGATTGGTAAGAGAAACACACATATCTTACTGCAGTTTTAAATAATATTCTCCATCAGATTCCCCATAAGTTTCATAAATCTGAAGTATTTAGGATTCCAGGAATAGGAAAAACACAAACTGCCCCAGTATGATGGACTATCAGAGAGGCCATATCCTGGATCAGGAAAAAAATCCCAAGAATCAGCTTATCTCTTCAACCAATGAAGACTCTTTAGGAGCACTTGACAACCAAAGTTGAAGCAATGAACAGTCAGAAAAATCTTAAACATAACTACTTAATTGTGTGTGTGTGTGTGTGTGTGTGTGTGTGTGTGTGTGTGTGT